GTGATGACAAATGTATTATGGTTTACCAAAGACTTATAGGTGATCCAATATTAACAGGCTTCTGTCCTTATTCATGTTTTTCTACAAATCCATTCTATCTGCTTTTGAATAAATGCCTTCTAAATATATATCCCAAGATGTTTAGCAACATTTTCAATATACACAATAAGCATTTCAAAGGCATACATGTATTATGCACTATTAGTGAGCTGTTTGTTATAATTTAATTATAATATTTATATGTGGAAGCATATTTTGGGGGTTTTAATTTGCTATGATTTTAAAAACTTTTAGCAAAAGAAAAAAATCAACCTGAAATGAAAAAAAAATATACAAAAAGTGGTTTTAAGAAAGGGATGAGAATTGGACATTTTTTTTGTGGCTGTACAATTAGAATTAATGTATCGACTATGTTTGTACATTATACATATATATATAGCATGGTGTGAAAAGCCTATGTAATACAAACATGACAAATAGACTAAAACATATGATAATATACTGGTGAAATTGAGTAAACTGCTACTATATGACATCAACCCAGCAACAACTTAATAACAATCTAGAGGTCAACACATATCTATACGTCTAAACACGTGAAAACTTTACGACAGATTCATCCATTGGAGAACAAGTGATCATTGATGGGGATACACGGTTGAAATCATAATTGCTCAAAATATCGACACAACAATGTTAAATAGAACTGCATTTTTGTTAATAAGATCATTATTTAACAAATAAAATGATGTGGTACTTGTTTAAAAATAAGACAATTTTTCACCGAAAACCCAATGACATAGAAGTTAGCAACTGAATTGGCAAATTTGATAAGGTCAGAATATTAATTTCCAACATATAGGCAGTCAGATTATATATTTTCACTCAGACCAGGGCCAGAATACTTATTTTCAGTCCATCCTTCTATTAAAGTGAGTCAAAAAAATTGTATGATTTAATTAATCAATGATTTTTTTTTCTAAGGGGCGCCCAAATAAGTTCTGCCGGTAATACATATGTACTGTCTTCATCACTGATTGAAGATGAATATAATTAGAATAATGGACCCATTTGCCTAATTTATAAATGTGACCATTTTAAAAAATTCCATTACATCTAGTAAAATTGTTAGTTTTCTTTACTGCATGGTTGTCAGAATAATATATCAATATTGGACAAGCATTTATATGATTTAATAAATTGAATTTAAAAAATGGAAATTGGAAATAATATTTAATATTGGATAAACGTTAGCATGGTTAGTACGACATCTGATCAACTGAAACCACAAAAGGAAATCTGATGTCAGTCCGTAGAATTTAACAAGACCGGATTCTAAAGAATACAACAAGTTCTAAACCGTTATGTGAATAAATAAAAGAAGATTCGATTTCCTTGTCTGAAACAATGCGAGTTTTCTTGTTTTGAACATTTCAACTTTCACTGGCGCTAGTTATTTTGTCGGTCTTACAGTACGTCCATCTATTTATAAATACTTTTGGTAAATTGGTTGAGAAAAATCCGGTGAAAATATGAATGATCTCGAGTGATAATATTTTTACCTCAATCAATCATGCATGAATGCCGAAGTGCTATTTATCAAGGACATTTGAACTTCAAATAGACCACTCGTTACAATATACAGTACAAAGTCGAGTCAATATTGAACTATTCAAAAATAAAATACAGTAAAATAAATTAAATTTAGATAGATTTAAGAGTATTTTTTTTCCATTGCTGCAAAAGATGCGTTAAATGTTCATCATTGCTTTGATTTTTTTTATATGTATAGAAATCAAAATGGTTAATACGGCAATATTTATAATTTTGCAAGAAAAAAAAATGTAGCCCCAAATAAAATCTCAAAATAAGTGTGTGAAATAAGCCCTCGGGGAAAAATTAAGCAGTTTAATATGGGGATAAGTTTGACAAGTGTGTATATTCGGAGTTCCCCGCTAGGTTTACAGTATATATCATGTATATTGACCGTTATTATGAAGTAATGTGATTCGTAAAACTGGGTATTGAAGACAACATTGTATGCATGAATGATTTCACACCTCACTAATTTAAAAAAAATTAAAAAGTTTTTATTTAGATGATATTGAAAATTGTCAACTGTTAATACAGTTAACGATACATTTGGTTACAAATATATTGGGCAACCTTTTTCAATTTATCTGTAAGTAGTTTTAAATGCGAATAAAACCGTCCTGTGTGAAATTGCAGGTATCTAGTGCTGGTTCCGATTTTGTTCGATGAGATGAGAGGCGAGGGAGTGTTAAATAATTATATAAATTTAGCACATTAACTAAATAAGCGGGGAATAACAAAATGTTCAGCGGCAAATATTTCAAAATACTATTTTTTTTAAATCAATTTCTATCTAAAATTAATGTATTAAATGGGTGTAATAGTTGTGTCTCTTTGTCACAACTTTATATTGCACACGGTAAAATTGTTTTACAAATAATTTAACCTATCCCTAACTGTCAGAAATTTTGTATCCGTGACTTTTACGTCTTAATGACGATCGATGTTTGGAAGTTGCTACACTTATAAATTAGCTATGACTATGTAATGGTTGTAGCAATCATACTTTTACTGTTACAACCTTTTCAGCGTTTAAACAGTTTATTTATGACTGTTTCAACGTTTTCCGTGTTGGGACAGTTATTAAATAACTGTTACAACTTTCAAATGGTTGCAGCAGTCTTATTATGACTGTGACAACCTTTTAGGCGTTTAATCAGTTTATTTATGACTGTTGCAACGTTTTTCGAGTTGGGACAGTTGTAAATCAACTGTTACAACTTTTAAATAGTTGTATCAGTCCTTTAATGTCTGTGACAGTTATTTCTAGCGTTGTTACAGTCGAATTATGTTATAGACAAACTTTTTTAAAGTTGTGACAGTTACAAAATAACTGCAGCAGTGAAATTTAACAACTGTTACAACTTTAACAAACATTATCAGTCTTAGAACGACTGTTACTGGTATGGACAGTTGTTTTTTCGTCCAGTAGTGCATGCTTTAATCAGAGACATATAATACTATAGTATAAGAATTGGGAAATGTAAAGTTGTCCATTATAAGTAATGAGCCACCATTATGATGTACAAAAAATGTACCTATTGGGTCAAGACACTGTTTGTGTACAAAGTATTTGCCGACTTGTCACAGGTCAGTGCTTGGGTGGAGAGTGAAGCCATAAAATAGTTATCTGTGATCATAAAGTTATGAACTCTTAATTAAAACACAAAAGAATCATGTTACAAGTGTTAATTACATCGATTAAATCCAATCAACAAGGTTAATTAACCTCATAAGGTAAATCGATCACGTGGTGTAAACAATCTGTGTTGAACTGGTTTGAACTGGTCAAATTTCACCTGGAATTTTATACCGCACGGAAAAGATTTAACAAGTCGTTTAAAACTTAACCGACTTACGATTTTTTAACTGAAAATTTTAGCACCACGGAGAAAAATTATACATCGCGGTAAGAACGATAGCACCACGGTAAAAAATTATACATCGCGGGCCCATGGTCCTTTAAGGGCCTGGGGAGAACACTGACTTTGTCAAACCTTCATGAAATTTTGTGAAACTTGGACAGAAGCTTTTTCATAAACAAAAGACTGCATCCATAGCAAAACTTTGATAATGTTTTTGTTTCATTAACGGGTATTCAGTATTTTACTGATAAACTGACTTAGCTATTTGGCAGTTTTCACATTTAGATACAGTCTAGAGTTCAAGTGTTTTCAGCCATCTTTAACTTTGGTAAACCTTCATAGAATTTTATAAAACTTTGACAGAGTTTTTTTATGATTATGATATCTAAAGCAAAATGATATAAATATATTTTTGTAGTTTTTCTGTATTTCATGAATTTAGTTGTTTAGCTAGGATTTTGACACAAAAAATAAAATACAATTTTGTTTGTTTCAAACATTTATAAAAGCGGAATTGTGAAATAATGTTTTGCTATTAGCAGTCAGTTTGATTAAAATTCTTCAAAATAAGCTCTAAAACATTGGAAATGTATTATTGGCTTGCAAGTCAATAACTCAACTCATTTGAATACGTATTCATCTGACCTTAAATGTAGCCCTCAGCTGGAGATGGGTTACACATATGTAAAGCATGTTCAGTTATTAAAAGGAAAAGAATATCAATATTGAAAAGTGAAACTAGGAAGCCATGAAGAAGATCCATTTTGTTGACCTATTCTGCACACAAAAAAATCATACTTATTCTGGTAAAATGGTGATTTACATATTTTTTTAATCAATTAAATGAAACCAAGCAGACCTAGAAAAATGGCTGTTCTCTGATTGCATGTGCCTGTCTGTGTATTTATATTTATTATTATTTTTATATTGAGTCATATGACAATTGTCATTATTCTAAGGTCATCACAACTTAATTAGATGGTGTCTAGTCTAAAATACACATGAAATGCTGATGCATTATTACAAGTCCATGCATTGTCAATTGTTTGTTTTGGAGTTTTTGTAATTTGGATATACATTTTAGTATGTTTTAAATCAAATATGAGAATTTGAGTCAAATCGGTGAACATGAATTTAAGATATTTTTAATCAAATATGAGAATTTGAGTCAAATTGGTGAACATGAATTTGACAGCTAATGCCCCTCTAACATTTACATAACAGCTTAAGGTTAAACTTTTTATGCATCAAAAACTTTTTTTTTTTAGACCTTCATGGAATGTAATGAAAATTAAAAAGAAGCTTTTTCATGATCAAGAATTAGGATTTTCAATATTTTATTGATAAATGGGCTACCGTGAAGTATTTGGCAATCAACATTACACTTTTACATTGACAGCAGCAATCGCATGGGAGACAAAGAGTTACACAGAACCCTTTCACCATTTTTTTTTTGAAGTATTGCACATATTTTTAATTTTGTTTTTGTAGCAATAATTGTTATCTTAAAAGTTTAATAAAAAAAATGGTTTTTGTTTATAGAGGAGATAAGTGAGAAGATGGATGAACATATGGGAATAACACATGTAGACATGGATGGAAGATTTAAAACTATCAGAACAATGGAGACAAATTTAGGTAGGAAAACAATATGATTGTTCTTTGATTTTACTTTAAATATTAATACATTTGCAGAGGTAACACATTATTTTACAATATTTTTATGCCCCAAACATCACAAATGTTAGCCTTAATTCAAAAGCAAAACAGCTTTTAGTAATTCATTGTAGGGCTGACCTTATTTGTGGTCGCAATGGAAGTGTGATCGCCTTGCGTGTGGCAGGTAGTGTGTTAAACCTCCAGTTGATGTCAAATATGAAAACTTTAAAATTGGTATTAAGCAGTTTCAAAGTAGAAAGTTTCAAATTGACCTGAATTTTATCAACCTATTTGCTAGCCTAGAGTCTGATTATAATATGATTTGAATATCAATCAACTAGACTAGACCATCAAATCCAGAATGAAATACTACAGTAGTTATATTTCACTGCATAAATTAATCTGTAAAGGCTACTTATCATCATGTTAAATTGGAACTCATATTCTATTCACATGAACCTCTTAAATATATGTGTTGAAATCTCGTTAAATCACATTAAATCAATAACACAAAATCATTATCAGTTCCTAATTCATGAAAATGTACATTACATGTATTACACAGTAGTAGTAAATGATAATATAGTATATGCAGAATTGATGTCAAACATTTTACCTACATTCTTTCCAGGAAATTTTGTAACAGATGTAATGTTAGAAATATCAAAAGCAGACTGTGCTTTATTGAACTCAGGAACCTTTAGATCTGACAGAATTCATCCAAAAGGAGAATTTAAGCTGAGAGATTTATTAACCATTCTTCCTCTTGTTGACAATTTAGTTGTTATTGAATGTACAGGTATTGTAAACTTCTAGTTAGATTATTTATTTATGACTAAAATCTGTTAATATAAGTATAACAAGAAATTACTATGCAATATTTGTTTCATAGAATTACAGGATCAGAAGTTATGTAATTAAGGTAGATCATAGGTCTAAATTAAAATCGATTGAATTGTTTAATAATTTGCCAAAATGTAGTTTTTATCATGCTTTTTCCACAAATACCTAGTATAAAAGTTTCATTATCTGAGTTGTCTCCCCTTATATGGCAAAATTGGAAAAATATTGAACCAAACAAACAATATTCTGTATTTGTAAAAATAAGATAAAACACGTATAAATTTTAATACTTCATTCAGATGGACAATGTTACAAATGAATTACATTCCTCGCTCTAAAGGAGTAGATCCAGTAAGACCCCTTCTTGGCCCCAAAATATTGCAGTTTTACAAAGTTGTTCGAATGTAAACTTTTATCTATTTAATGGAAAGTAGAATACTTCTGTTACATAAATATGGGCTGTTTTTGACAATACTATGCACATGTATCGGGTACTATCGTCATTAAGTCATGCTAAATTACTGAAATCTTTACAATTTTAGCATTTGAGTTAAATTTTAGACGGTTTCCGTCTTAAATGGAAGTGGCCGCATTTGTGTTCATTCTTAATATTTAAATGTAAGTTGTATTTGATGATAATACATAACATATATAAAGGTTGAGAATGAACACGAATGCGGCCACTTTCATTTTTGACAAAAACCATCTGAAAAGTGATATAGTATGGCATATTTAATAGATTTTTCATATTTTAACTTGAATTTGAGCGTTTTAAATGACTAAATCTGTTCAAATCTTTCACAAAAACTAATTGAATTGACTGAAGTAGACACTTAAGTGTTTAAAAAGTGTCCAAAATCTTTCATCAGATGAACCTGAAGTTTGAGGCCAAAATCAGCCCTTACCGGACCTACTCCTTTGCAAATTTCATTAAAGATCTAGACTGATTGCTTTATGCTTTTTTATGCCCCCACCATAACGGAGGGGCATTAAGGTTTACCCTTGTCTGTCCCTCCGTATGTACGTCCCTAAATTGGTTTCTGTCTCTAACTTTAGTTTGCCTCAACCAAATGTTATGAAATTTATACACAATGCTTATTACCACAAAACTCAAGTTTGACTTTGGGTGGCATCACATTTACTGTTCTGGAATTATGCCCCTTCATAAAAGGAAAAAATGCTGAATTTTTCGTTTCTGTTCTCTTACTTTAGTTTGCCTCAACCAAATGTTATGAAACTTATACACAATGCTTATTACCACAAAACACAGATCAAGTTAGATTTCGAGTGGCGTCACTTTTACAGTTCTCTAGTTGATATCCCTTTGTAACATTATATGCAAGCATGCTTTGTAACATTATATGCAAGTGTGGGTATCATCTATGTCCCATGGACACATTCTCCATTTATTACCATCTATGATGGCCGAAGACACCAGATCTACCTTAAGCATTGATGCAAAGAAATGGCAGAAATCAGAATTCTATCTAAACAATATTTGATTTAATAGAAAAAAATTCCTTTACAAATTAATGAATACTTTTTACTTATGAGTAACATTTTCTTTGGTTATGTACCCCACGTCTCCCTTTATTAATTATAATTGAGAACATCATGAAAGATACATTTTGTGTTGAGAATTGATTAAAATGTACAAGTCATAGTTCTTCAGATCAGATATAATTATAGGTGCTGAGGTGGTTGAAGCTTTAGAAAATGGTGTATCAAAATATCCATCCTTAGAAGGTAGATTTCCACAAGTGGCAGGAATAAATTATGGTTTTGATCCAACAAAGCCTCCAGGGGAGAGAGTTGATCCAGAATTGGTACAAATCCAAGATCAATATATCCACCTGAATAAGGTTGGGCACAAATTTAAAATGTTTCCATGGTGATTTATAATTTCTTTTTTATGAAAATTTTACTTTCATTGTCAGTTTTATACCCATTTCATAAAATTTGTGATAAAAGATGACATAAGCAAACAGATGGCAGTAAGCTTTTCAGTAGGGCTATTTTCTAAAAATGTTTAAGGACAGCAAACATTTTTGTCAAGCCTGCAACATTTATGTCGCAAAAGCAAGACAAAGCGATCATAGATTCTGTTGGTGGCATCAGCGTTTTAGAATCAGTCTGTGTATAATGTTTTTTTTACTTAGACATCAATAACTTTGTCAAACCTTCATGGAATTTTTTGAAATTTGGACAGAAGCATAGTTTATGACCAAAATACAGTATCCAGAGCAAAATTTTGAAAATATTATTTATTTTTCCATATTTTACTGATAAATGAACATAAGTTTTTTTTTACAGTTAACATTCAGATTTAGTCTGGGGTTAAAGTTTTTCAGTCTTCAACATTGTCAAACCTTCATTTTATATTGTATATGACAAAAAGACAGTATCCAGAGCAAAATTTTGAAAATGTTTATTTCAATTTTTTCTTATTTTACGGATAAATGGACTTAGTTTTATTTTACAGTTAACAAGTAGATACAGTCTGGGTTAAAGTTTGTTACACATCAATTACTTTGTCAAACCTTCATAGAATTTTATGAAACTTTGGCAGAAGCTTTTTTATGATTAAGAAATAATGTATGAAGCAAACATAATTTTCAGTATTTTCTGATAGATGGACTTAGTTTTTTACAGTTAACATTTTAATACAGATAGTATAGGATTACATATTTTTGGCATGATAAATTTGTAAACGTTCATGGATTGTTATGAAACTTGGACAGAAGCTAATCTTCAAGACCAAGAAATAGCATCTAAAGAAAAGGTTTGATTTTTAATTTTTTAATTCTGTATTTCACTGAAAAATGGACTCCATTTTAAAGTTAACATTACACTTTTACACTGACAGCAGCAATCACAGGTGAGAAACAGGTTTCTGCCAAACCCCTTAAGATTTTCTTTTACATAGATCAAAACAGGAATTTTTTAAGTTTGGTTGAAAAATAAAATATTTTCCCTCATCAATCAGAATCTAATTTAAAGAATTTATATTTAAACAGGTAAAAGATTTACTTAAAATGTAAATCTGAGGGATATTCTTTTCACCTTAGAAATTGAGGTGACCACATGGAGTAACCATTACCTTGATATTGTTATGCTTTAAATGATACCTTTTGCAGGTAAATTTTCAGTTTATGAATTATTGAATATTTGTTCTAAAACTGAAGTTGCAGTCCCATTAGGAAGGTTCACTTCAGAAGGTTTTGGTGGTTTTGTGTAGGTCATCTATGTTTTAATGTTCACAACTGTTCAATGTTTTCCTTTTCCAACCTTTTGGTCTCAAATGTAACAGTTGAAGGTAATTCCAGAAATGTGTCTCTAGTGCACTAAAATTGATTTCAAACTTTTATTCAAGTGTATGTTTTTAGAAATACCTATTGTGTACAAAAGAATACATAGCAGATGGGAAAGATGGATATGAAGTGTTCAAAAAGTGTCCTGTGGCTGTAAGTTATCTTTATACTTTTCACTTATTGATTTATTCTATGGGCTATTCCAGGTAAACTGTATGGAAGGGTTGGACAACACATGATTATATTTCTGGATTTAAGGGGTGAAAGCAAATATAACTCTGTTACAAATGGAAATAAATTTTTAAGAAAAGGTGGGTGGGGGAGGGGGGGAGGTATAAAAAATTATTAAAATATAAAAAATGCATATTATATTATAGTAATAGATTTTTAAATATATTTATTTAAAATTCTATTACTATAATATAATTTTAAATATATTTATTTTCATGTGTTCCATAATCAACAATATTCAACAATATAGTTTGTTTTGTTTTATTTTATTTTAATTTGTTCCCTTACAGATTGACTCAGAAAAGCTAATGACATTGAGTACAGCCGTAAGAAACCACTTTGAGTCAGTACAAATTTTGCAAGGTGCTAAGAAATGCAAATCTGGGCATAGGCAGAGCTTAATTAGTCTTGTAAGGTAACTTTCTTTCACTACACTAAGGCTTAAGCTTAACAAAGTACTAGGTCATAAGCTGGTTAAACCTGAGTAGTCCTCAGTTGATTTTAGCATATAAGTGTGTCAAATATTAATTCAGGGGCATTTTTAAACTTACTTTATAATGTTGGTTATTGCTTATTGTAGAAAGCTTATTGATGACTTGTAGTTTTAAAATATTGAAGTTAATGATGATTCATATTTTTTTTATGATTATGATTTTTAATAATAGTTGTACTTAACAAAATTATTGATGCATTAGGTAATCAACACCACAAGGCAAATCAAACACACTCAAAAAATATGTCTTTATTGTTAAGAACAGGAAATCATTATTTAAGAAAAGAAAAAAAAAGTGTCCATATTTCCAAAAATAGTTTTATGTTACAGAGAGAAGTAATTTCTGAACAGTCTTATTAATTATTTTATGCAGCTTTCTGTATATTCTGAGATTTCAGAATATGTATATCACAATATTATGTGTAGTAAATTGTATTACTGAAATCACTTATTGATTATATGACCAACTTGTGTATTACAGACGAGAAAGTTTGGTTAAACAAGCTAGTTTAGAATGGCATATACCACATCAACTTGTAAGACAGATGAGTGTTCATGATGTAGAATGTGAGAAAAGTCACCTTTGTCCGAAAGTTGAAGGCCGTATCTTCTTTTATGATGACCAGGTATGTTATTGGATTTAATTAATTTCATTTTTAAAATTATTATACTGCTTTTTAGCTCATGTGAGCTTATGCCATCACTTGGCGTCCGTCGTTGTCTGTCGTCGTAAACTATTTAAAAAATCTTCTCCTCTTAAACTACTGGGCCAAATACCTTCAAACTTTAAATAAATGTTCCTTAGGGTATCTAGTTTATAAATTATATCTGAAGTTTTGATCCATCAACAAACATGGCCGCCATGGCTAAAAATAGAACATAGAGGTCAAATGCAGTTTTTGGCTTATATCTCAAAAACTAAAGCTTTTAGAGCAAATCTGACAGAGGTAAAATTGTTCAATCGGTCAAGATCTATCAGCTCTGAAATTTTCAGACGAATCCAACAACCCATTGTTGGGTTGCTGCCACCGAATTGGTAGTTTTAACAAAATTTTGCAGTTTTTTGTTATTATTTTGAATATTATTACAGATATATATAAACTGTAAGCAGCAATAATGTTCAGCAAAGTAAGATCTACAAAAAAGTTAATATGACCATAATTGTCAATTGACCCCTTAAGGAGTTATTGCCTTTTAAAGACAATTTTACACAATTTGTTCATCAAGTTTGCTAACATTTAAAAATCTTCTCCTCTGAAACTACTGGGCCAATTACCTTCAAACTTTAACTAAATGTTCCCTAGGGTATCTTGTTTATAAATTGTATCCGAAGTTTGTATCCATCGACAAACATGGCCACCATGGCTAAAAATAGAACATAAGGGTCAAATGCAGTTTTTATACGACCGCAAAAAAATTTTGTGGTCATATATTGGTATGACGTTGGTGTCGTCGTCCGAAGACACATTGGTTTTCGCACTCTAACTTTAGTTTAAGTGAATGGATCTCATTGAAATTTTACCATAAGGTTCAATACCACAAAAGGAAGGTGGGGATTGATTTTGGGGGTTATGGTACCAACAGTTAAGGAATTAGGGGCCAAAAAGGGGCCAAAATTTAGCATTTTTGTAACTTCCAGACATAACTTGTGTGAAAGTGTATGGATCTCTCTGACATTGTACCACAAGGTTCCATATCACAAAGAAAATGCTGGGATTGATTTTGGGGGTAATTGCCTCCAAATTTTGGGAATTAGGGGCCAAAAAGGGGCAAAAAACAAGCATTTTTCTAGTTTCATGACAATAACTTGTGTGTAAGTGTATGGATCTCTCTGACATTGTACCACAAGGTTCCATATCACAAAGAAAATGCTGGGATTGATTTTGGGGGTAATTGCCTCCAAATTTTGGGAATTAGGGGCCAAAAAGGGGCAAAAAACAAGCATTTTTCTAGTTTCATGACAATAACTTGTGTATAAGTGTATGGATCTCTCTGACATTGTACCACAAGGTTACATATGACAAAGGGAATGCTTGGATTGATTTTGGGGGTAATTGCCTCCAAATTTTAGGAATTAGAGGCCAAAAAGGGACAAAAAACAAGCATTTTTCTAGTTTCATGACAATAACTTGTGTGTAAGTGTATGGATCTCTATGAAATTGTACTACAATGTTCCATATCACAAAGGGAAAGCTGGAATTGAGTTTGGGGGTAATTGCCCAAAAGGTGTAGGAATAAGGGGCCAAAAAGGGGCAAAAAATAAGCATTTTTCTAGTTTCCAGACAATAACTTGTGTTCAAGTGTATGGATCTCTCTGAAATTGTACTGCAAGGTACCATACCACCAAAGGAAGGTTGGGATTGATTTTGGGGTAATTGCCTCAAAATTTTAGGAATGAGGGGCCAAAAAAGGGGCAAAAAACAAGCATTTTTCTAGTTTCAGGACAATAACTTGTGTGTAAATGTATTGATCTTTATGAAATTGTACTACAAGGTTCCATATCACAAAGGGAAAGCTTGGTTTGAGTTTGGGGGTAATTGCCCTAAACGTTTAGGAATTTTGGGCCAAAAAGGGGCCAAAAAACAAGCATTTTTCTAGTTTCCAGACAATAACTTGTGTTCAAGTGTATGGATCTCTCTGAAATTGTACTGCAAGGTACCATACCACAAAGGGAAGGCTGGGATTGAGTTTGGGAGTGATTAATCATAAGGGGGTTCAAAAAATTTGGGGGGGGGGGATTTTTTTTCTTTAAAATTTTCCATTTTAATTGGTTATTTCTGATTTATATATAAAAGCAAATAATAATGATATGGTTTGAATAGGTAAATTAAAATTTTTTAAGTTCTTAGACCACATTCATTCTGTGTCAGAAACCTATGCTGTGTCAAATATATAATTACAATCCAAATTCAGTGCTGTATCAAGCTTGAATGTTGTGTCCATACTTGCCCCAACTGTTCAGGGTTCGACCTCTGCGGTCGTATCAAGCTGCGCCCCAGCAGAGCATTTTACTGGCTTATATCTCAAAAACTAAATCTTTTAGAGCAAATGTGACAGGGTTGAAATTGTTAAATTGGTCAAGATCTATCGACCCTGAAATTTTCAGACGAATCGAACAACCCATTGTTGGGTTGCTGCCACCGAATTGGTAGTTTTAACAAAATTTTGCAGTTTTTTGTTATTATTTTGAATATTATTATAGATATATATAAACTGTAAGCAGCAATAATGTTCAGCACAGTAAGATCTACAAAAAAGTTAATATGATCATAATTGTCAATTGACCTCTTAAGGAGTTATTGCCCTTTAAAGACAATTTTACACAATTTGTTCATCAAGTTTGCTAACATTTAAAAATCTTCTCCTCTGAAACTACTGGGCCAATTACCTTCAAAATTTAACTAAATGTTCCTTAGGGTATCTTGTTTATAAATTGTATCCGAAGTTTGTATCAATCGACAAACGATGACATGGCTAAAAATAGAACATAAGGGTCAAGTGCAGTTTTTGGCTTATATCTCAAAAACTAAATCTTTTAGAGCAAATGTGACGGGTTAAAATTGTTTAATTGGTCAAGGTTAATTGGCCCTGAAATTTTCAGACGAATCGAACAACCCATTGTTGGGTTGCTGCCACCGAATTGGTAGTTTTAACAAAATTTTACAGTTTTTTGTTATTATTTTGAATATTATTGTAGATATATATAAACTGTAAGCAGCAATAATGTTCAGCAAAGTAAGATCTACAAAAAAAGTTCATATGACCAATATTGTCAATTGACCCCTGAATGAGTTATTGCCCTTTAAAGACAATTTTACACAATTTGTTCATCAAGTTTGCTAACATTTAAAAATCTTCTCCTCTGAAATACAGGTGAGCGATTTAGGCTCTTGAGAGCCTCTTGTTTGTTATTATTTTGAATATTATTATAGATATATATAAACTGTAAGCAGCAATAATGTTCAGCAAAGTAAGATCTACAAAAAAGTTGATATGACCAAAATTGTCAATTGACCCCTTAAGGAGTTATTGCCCTTTAAAGACAATTTTACACAATTTGTTCATCAAGTTTGCTAACATTTAAAAATCTTCTCCTCTGAAATACAGGTGAAAGATTCAGGCTCTTGAGAGCCTCTTTTTAAATTTTATTTTCCAAATCAGATCACATATATCTTTGTTCATTTTTTTTTTCATTAGTTACCTTAGTAAAATGTCAATTTTTTTATTAGGGAATTAGAGGGATATTAAGCTATATACCAAATGTAAATAGTGTAATTTTAGCCTTACTGGATAAATCTGTATTTTTTAATGATAAAATAAGCTAGTTATCAACGTTTCAAATCAATGTTAAGTACTATAATTCTTATATGATTTGCATATCTATAAATACTTGAAACGGATTGGTCAGTTAGAACTTTTTCCCTTGGTTTACACTTTGATAAACCATGTTTCTGAAACTACTCTTGTAACCTTCACTGTGATCTATTCATGCGCGATACACATGCATGCAGGCATCCCGGGATTTTAAGCCAATTGAGATTGAAAAACAAATACATGACTGTTGTTTCTATTCTAATGCATATATAACAAAAAGAAATAATGAACTAAAGCTTTGAAAATGTATAAAATTAAAATTAAATAAAATTCCACGAAATTTCATGAATGATCTTAGCGAATAAACGTCATGGAAAAACATGGCGTCATACGAATGAAAACTTTCAAACTAAAGATTATTTTGTTACGCTTCAAAATGAAGTTTTTGAGGTAGGTGCTATTTCATTTTACATTCTGTTGCATTTATCGAACATTTATCATGTTTATGGATTTTAGAAAGTCAAGATGGTGGCTAACTCCTTAGTTACGACATGTCAATTGTGCGTTTGATGGTAAATAGTAGCCATTAAACAAAAAAAATGTTAATTAAAAATCGCAACGGTTTGGCTTAAGAATTATAAGGATTAAACAAATTTTTCTAGAGGTAATTGATGTGTAAACCGGGCCGATTAACTCACAAATGTAAAGTTTGTGAGTAAGCGCCCCGGTTTACATATAGTAAATTCAGAAATTATTACTGGTAAATATGCGACATCTGATTAATGCGATTGCCAAAAGTTTTGTGGAGACAAATCACTACTGAAATTATGATTGCGATTTTTCATTATGGCGATCATGATACTGTCACATTTTTCGCATTTATAAAAACATCCCAATAATTTCTGAATTTACAGTATTATAAAGAACAAAAATGTAGCTATTATTCTGATTCTGCAGCTGTTGAATACTTGCAAATCAAAATTTGCTATAATGAATGGGTTGGCTGATGGTGGTAAGTGTAAAGCACGGGAATGTGGTGTGTAGTTATAAATTTATGTGCTTATTACTGTGGATTTATTATTATTCATTGGATACCAAATTACATGGATTTCTTGGTTAAAGATGAACATTGAATTTTAAATGTTGAAGCAAATACTCACTTTCTATTCACTTATATGCCAAAGTTGACAAAACCACAAAATTAAATATCCACAACTGTGCAATCTTTGCTCAATCTACGAAATATTGGTACACACAAAGATAAATGAATCCACAGTATGTCCTACCCAAGATAATGTGCTGTGCCTTTTATTCCTATGTGTAGTGCCTGTTATTGTATCCTTTGTGTAAATTGATGTTGTGAGCTTGTGAAGCACATTTCCATATAAATAAAAATCTTGATCTATTCCTGATCATTGTATGTTTAGGAACAAAAAATGAGGACACTACCTTCAGACATCACAGGTTCATCAGTCTTTATAAGAAATTTTAAAGGAGCAGTGATAATGTTATTAGGGTACACTGGAACTGAAAGAAAATTTTGTTTTAAATCATTTGGGGGCAAATATATACCAAAAATTTAGGCAGTTTTTGTTGACATGTGAAAAAAATCCTGGTAATCACAATTTGCATGAGATTTTCTCAAACTAACATAGTCATAAATTCATGAAAAGTAAATTATTTCAGTGTTAATGTCTGAACCTGAAGTCTTAAATAAAAATAATAAATTAGATATTGGACATTTATATGTTTGTTGAGAATATTTAGAACCTATGCCTGGGAACATTAATTATCTACCCTTTCAATTTTTTAGAAATTGTTATGGAAAAAAAGGAAAAAGTTCAGTCTATAATAGTCTGCCTAAAATGGCAAAACTCAAAACTGTATTATTAAATCAAAAGTAGTTTTTGAACTACAGTAATCATGGTAATGAAAGTCTCTAAAATAAATTATTTGAATTTTCTTGTATTGTCTCCCTTGTTCTTATTTCATGCTATACAAAAACTTTTTGAGGTCAAGTTGCAAACAAGAAATTGTAAAGGTTTTGTTAAGAAATGTTACACCCCACATACTGAAGTCCATCTGTCAATCCCTCCCACATCTCTTTGTTGGGAAGGTCGTTGGTTCTCTCTGGGCACTTTGGCTTCCTCCACCATTAAAAACTGACCACCACAAATTAGCACAATAGTGCTGAAAACAACAATCAATCAATCAATCGATCTCTTTGTTGTTACCATACTTGTTGTAACTTCATTTTTGCTTGGATCCTCTTCAAATTTAGATGATAATTTCCACTCTTCAGAACCATGGATGAGTTCCATATTCAGAATAATCCAATTTTAGTTTTTTTTTTTTTTTAAATAACCCATTTTATGTCTTTTTGCCAGATAGCACCTTCATTTTTCATTTAATCCTCTTCAAATTTGTATGAAGAATTCCATTATTCAAAACTTTGCAGAACTTCAATTATCAGCAAAATCTTAAATGGGGAACTAATTTGGGGGGAGAAGGACTTCATCTTTATCATTCACTTTGTAACTTAATTTAAAAGCCTATAAACCAAGGAACATTTTACAAAAAAACAGGGGAAAACCTCTCTTTTTGTTTAAAAGTTTTGCTTTTTGGTAAATGATGCAGTCAATTTTCTTTTACCGTTGACCAGACTTCCAAGCTGCTTTCTGAACTCGGTTCCGTATTTTACATACTTATGTTCTATACAAAATTTCATTCTTATTAAACCTGTCCATATGTTTATTGGTATCAAATGGTATTTTGAGCTATTCCTTTGGTATATTTTTCATATTTATACGAGCTTTCGCTTATATGTGCATGTCTTTACAATCCGTAAAAATATCGGAATATACATAGATCCGTTTTGTTATGGTTTTGGACTTTTTACATACCAATGATAACCAATCACTAGTTTTTTTTTTGGGGGGAGGGGGGTGGGTCAGGATTTGAAACATGAAATTTTAACCTCAAGCGAGCCATATTAAACTGATCTTGAATACATGAACATGTCATGAAGGTATTTTTATGCCCCACCTAGGGGCATTATGTTTTTCACTCTCTGCATCCGTTCGTTCTTCTGTCCGTTTGACCCGCTTGAGGTTAAAGTTTTTAGTCAAGGTAGTTTTTGATGAAGTTGAAGTCAAATCAACTTGAAACTTAGTACACATGTTCCCTATGATATGATCTTTCTAATTTTAATGCCAAATTTGAGTTTTTACCCCAATTTCACGGTTCACTGAACATAGAAAATGATAGTGCGAGTGGGGCATCCGTGTATTATGGACACATTCTTGTTTCTTGATGTATTTCAAGTCTTTATATCAAAATTGACTTTGGGGTCTTTTCAGTATCGCATACCCATAACAGTTTCTTTGTAAAGGTTACATGTTAAAGTATAGTTTTTTTTTCCAGGTTGTATAATTATATATTACATGATATTATCTACTAACAAAAAGAATGTTATGTCTGTTTTGCACACGCACCCTCTTAATTAATGACACTATATATATATATGAAACTAATTTAAATATACACAATTAAATTTTAAATTTGTGAAGATAATAAAGTTGAAAAACAGCACTCTGATATTAAGTTTTTGTTGAAGGAAAAAGTTGGGATTACGATAAGCTCTCGCTATCATATGTTTCATCAAACTAAGTTTAAAGTAGAATAAATAAATTTTTAGTGATATTTTCTTTCAAATATCCAATTAATGTTAATATTTTCATTTACATTCATATTGAAAATTGTATACAGCAAACATTCTTATCTTACCTTTTGGGTATGTTTTAAGGTGTTTTTTTTTTCATTGAGTAAGAACATAAAGTATTGATATTTCATATGAATATTTTTTTAAAACAAAACTGAGCATATGAAAGTGGTTGAAGGTGCATGTAAAGAAATTAACTGGAATGTTAAGAAACTTTAACATGTTTAACAAATTTAAACTCTATTCAGGCAATTGTGTCGACCTGCATGAAATCCACACTAAATGTTTTGCATCATTTATTTGTTTTGCCTGTTTATCATGTAAACAAATGTAGATATATAACACCAATGAAAATCTTCACAGTCTTATAGTTTGACAAAATTTGGATGAAATTTAATATAAAATTTCATAAATGTGAATTCTGTTTTATAGATAATTTTGAAAATATAAATAATACACACACACACACAAATAGATATAAATAAAATAGATAAAAACACTGAAAAAATTACACACAAAAGCACCAAATCACTTTTTATACGTCTGTTTACGGGACGTATTATGGTATACCTCTGTTTGTCCGTCCGTCGTCAACATGTCGGACATTAACTCAAAAACGCTTCAACCAATTTGCATAAAACTTTGGTGAATTGTTTATATCTATTGACGTGAGCTCCCTTTTGTTTTTTATAAATTTTAGATTTTACGTTTTCGAGTTATGGGGTTTTATTCATTAAAAAAAGGGGGATTTTCCAGTTTTCGGACAATAACTCAAGAATGCTTTCACCAACTTGTAAGAAATTTTGGTTAATTGTTTATATCTATTGACATGATCTCCCTTTTGATTTTTATAAATTTTAGATTTTACGTTTCCAAGTAACGGGGTTTTGTTCATAAAAAAAAGGGGGATTTTCCAGTTTTCGGACAATAACTTAAAAATGCTTTCAGCAGTTCTCATGAAACTTTGATGAATTGTTGATATCTATTGATGTAAGCTCCCTTTAGAATTTTATAAATTTTAGATATTACATTTCCGAGTTGTGGGGTTTTATTTATTAAGAAAGGGGGGATTTTCCAGTTTTCAGACAATAACTCAAAAATAGTTTCAACAATTCTTATGAAACTTTGGTGAATTGATTATATCTATTGATGTAAGCTCCCTTTAGAATTTTATAAATTTTATTTGTTTATATATAAATTCAATTCATATAACCAATTTCAAGTTCTTTGACTACATTTATTCAGAAACCTATATGTCAAATATTTAATTACAATCCAAATTCAGACCTGTATCAAGCTTGAATATTGTGTCCATTTTTGCCCCAACTGTTCAGGGTTGGACCTCTGCGGGCGTATCCAGCTGCGCTCAGCGAAGCAGTTTTTATAAAATTAAAATGAAGACGTTTGCTTTTACTACACAGGATTTGCAAAATGTATTTCATGCTTGCATGGGACATTAATTATGTTAACATTTGTATGAAATTTATTATAAAGTGGATATTTTTTGTTAGGATATTTGGTTTTGTTGTAGGAAAAAGATCCGTACTATATATCAACTATAATTTTACATTTTAGAAAAAAGGGAGATAATAGTAATTATACATTTAAGTGAAAGGGAGATAATTATAATTGTACATTTCATAGCCTGGGATCGCAGCCCAATCTGGCTTCACATAGCGAGGAACCCAAGCTATATATTTCAGGAAAGAGAGATAATAATAATTATACATTTCAGAAAAGGGAGATAATGAAGATGACAAAAGTTGAAATCCCAATGAGTCTGAGTGACGAAATAATCCAAGAGGAAGAGGAAGAAGATGCCAAAGAGAAAGACAATGGTGTGGAAGGATGTATACAGAAAGACAAGCTAAAGCTAGATTATGTTGACATACATACACTCTGAACACGTCTATCTTTTTAAAAATATCAAATGTTGGTTTAATCCAAAGGCATTAACACTAGTATTTTTAACTGATAATAGGATTTGACATTTATGGCATTTACGAAAAGACTTTGGAAAGACATGCATAGTATTGAAAAATACATTCCATTTCTATTCTTCATAGTTTCTGATTACTCAAACTTTTATCATCTGTCATTAACATGAAGTTCTGAAGTATTAAATCTTCTTGCATCAATTAATAGACTGGAATTTCTGTAAACTCCAATTAACATACATTTCCCTCTCATTTTTTTTTATATTTAGTCTTCTAAAAAATAAAAAAAGCAATCTCCTCTTTTTAAGTCTAAGATGTATCAAGTCTGTCAGCCTTACATAGTTAATACAATTAATTTTTTGAATAACTAAATTGAGTAGGTGTTTACTTATACAAATGTATAACGTCATTCGAATTAGTATTTACATACATCATTATGCATTGCATTCTATTTCAATGATAGATCAAGATAGTAATGGTGGTAAAAACCATTTACTTTAATGTAATATTGAATGGGCTTCCTGTTTTTGTTTTTCTTGACTTGTCTGTTAACCCTGCAGCATAGTGCATATGCTATGCTCAAGTCTTTATGTAGCAATACACAGTTAGGAAAATAACTTAAAATTGACACTCATAATTTTTAACCACCCTCTTTCCCTTGCTTTATAACAAATAAGTCTTAATGTTTGTGTTATGTATGTGCATATGCATGGAAACAGAATATTCCATAGATTTGATTTCCAATAGTTAAAATGGTGAAATGTAATCTCTTTTGGTGTAACCATGGCAACAATCTGCATTAATTAATACAAAATATTGCAAAAGGGGGGGGGGGGGGGGTGAAAATATCACAAAAGACACAAAAATTTGGTCCAAAGTATTTATTTCAATCTATAGAGTGATATCTTTTTCTGAAACCACTGACATTTATCTATCAAGAGGTCCAAAAAAAATCATATGCATTTCACCTCATTTTTCCATAAAATTGAATTGAAAAGTTTGAGCGTCAAATATTTGTTGAAGAACACCACAATAATTTCTGGACCTATGGACGGTATGGATGTAAAAATATGGACTGTTGAACAGAAAAAGGCCTATAAAACATGCAAAAAACAATCTTGATGTTCATATAAACCCACTTTAAAGGCTATATTATTCTTCAGTTATCTAAAAATCAATTTTATTGCACTATAACTTTCATATTTAAAAAATTCACCATGGCCAAAATGCAAAACCAAACTCCAAACTGTGTAAGGCTACATTACCTACTTTTCAATTTAGTGCCATCAATATGTTTACATATCAGGTAAATATTAGTTAGCATGACTCAATATTTCTTGTCCTTTGATACTTTCTGTAGTTCTTTGTTTTACCTGTTATTTAAAATTTTTATTGATGTTAGTAATGGGGTAGTATTTTTGAATTTGGTTACACTGAAATGTTCATGTACTTACAAGTATTTTTACTCGTGAGGTTTTTTTTTTTATGAAAAGACCTGCAGAATTCTTTTTCTTTCCCACGTCACTTACATCAGACAGGAAGGGCACATCCAAAATTGCAATTGCTGCATGAAATAAAGATTACACGAGAATCATCATCCATTTAGCCAACCCATTTTAGTGAATCATAGCTCCATTCAAACATTCTGAAGTATTCTATATGCATTCCTGGAGATCAGTTGGATTTATTTTATGAAATTGTTACATGTCATTTGATATTCAACATTGGTATAGTCTTCCATTTTAATACAGTTCATTTAATGAAAATGTCCAACATATTTACACTTTATGATGAACACATCAAGTTTGAGTGATTTTCCAATGTGGCCTGCTTACTGAAAATCTAAATTTAGTAAAATAAACTTTAAATTTTGCTCAGGCAATGTAAGATAGAATAAATTTTGCACATCTTTATTTTTTATAGAAGCTAAAATACCATCCTTGACTTTATACCAGACCCTTAAATCCCCATTGGAAACTAAAGAAATCTTGGTATGATATCATGACAGATGTGGAAAGTGATCTGAAATGATTTGTTACACTGTTTCATGTTGATTACCCATAATTCTTTTATTTGAATAAGTAGATAATATCAAAGATATTGCATGGGAAATTCAGAAATTCATATGAATCACCAGTATAAAAAATGTCACTGCATTCCATGTGCTTCTTTCACCAATGGGATGCTATATAAGAGGCTAAAACCTTATTGTATATGACCTCACATCTGACAGAAGCCTCTCACTTATCAGAGAATTCTGTAGTGACTGATGCTGCCAAAATAGAAAAATCTTTGCCAATCAAAGTCACTGCCCTGCATTTAACATGTCGTAATTTTTCCATCTCAGAGTTGCCATGATATATTCATACCAACAGCCATAATAATTTTACGAAAATGATGCTCATGATAATCTTAAAATATGTTGAAAGGAAAAATTTCCAAATTTAAGATTTTTAAATCATAGGTTTTTTGTTACAATACTTATTTTCATGGCAAACAATCACAAATATCTACTACTGAATACAGACAAGTGATAGATGAAAATAAATTTCAGAATGGGAAACAAACCTGTAAAACTTTTTATATAATGCTTCACATTTTTCATATTTTTTTTTTAAACATTTTCACATCTAATGACATAATTGCATTCATGAATATAAAAAGTTCAGATTAAAAATATATATATTTATTCATGAATAAAATCTATCAAATTATTGATTATTTATGTCAAGAGACCTGCATGGTACCACAGTTATTGTCCTTTGATTTTGGTTGTTCACAAATATAGTCGCTAGTGTGGACAGCAAATTTTTTTTTCTACACCTTTTACCATAAATATTGTTTAAAATGATATTTGCAATGACAAAGTTGTTAAATATTCGGAAATTAAGTTTCACTTCCATTAAAAATTGCACTGATTCCTCACTTTGGACTGGCTTTACCTTTTTGTCGAGCCCTCGACTTTTGTCGAAAAAGCGAGACATACCAATCCTACATTCCGTCGGCGGCGGCAGCGTCCACAAATATTCACTCTGTGGTTAAAGTTTTTGAAATTTTAATAACTTTCTTAAACTATCCTGGATTTCTTCCAAACATGGACAGAAGCTTGTTTATGATCATAAGATAGTATCCAGAAGTAAATTTTGTAAAAAAAAAATTCCTGTTTTTCCGTATTTGACTTATAAATGGACTTAGTTTTTCTGCCAGGAAACATTACATTCACTCAGTGGTTAAAGTTTTTAAAATTTTGATAACTTTCTCAAACTATCCTGGATTTCTACTAAACAGACAGAAGCTTGTTTATGATCATAAGATAGTATCCAGAAGTATATTTAAAAAAAAAATTCATGTTTTTCCGTATTTTACTTATAAATGGACTTAGTTTTTCTGCCAGGAAACATAACATTCACTCTGTGGTTAAAGTTTTTAAAATTATAATAACTTTCTTAAACTATCCTGGATTTGTACCAAACATGGACAGAAATTTGTTTATGATCAAAAGCTAGTATCTAGAAGGAAATTTTTATTTAAATTTTGTACTTGTTTATCCATATTTTACTTATAAATGGACTTAGTTTTTCTTCCAGTTAACATTAGATAGTCTGCAGTTAAATTTTTTAAAACATTTATTAGATTCATAAACTATCCTGGATTTTTACTAAACTTGTACAGAAGCTTCTTACAATAAAAAAATTGTATCGAGAGGAATATTTTTATTAAATTTTTTCCTCATCTCATTTTTGTTGAGCCTGCGATTAACAGCAAAAGTAGGCGAGACACTGGGTTCTGTACGAACTTTTAGTCTTATTATAAATTATATCAGCTCTGCTAAGTGACTGATCAGAATTGATGCTGTTTGATATTAAAATTACACAATATTTTGAATTGTGTCAAAAGGTGCTTGTTCTTTTGTGTTACATCCTCATAACCTTAAAATCTTTTCGGTATGCAAGGTATTTTTTTTTTGGTACTGGCTCTACTCTTTTAGTCTTATTTTATTAATTCAGCTCTGCCAAGTGATGAATCAGAGTTGAAACCATATGATATTAAAATTACACAACATTTCAAATTGTGTTAATAGGTGCTTGTTCTTCTGTGTCACATCCTCATATCCTTTCAATCTTTTCAGTATGCAAGGCTGATGAACAAAACAAACCTATGCTTTTCATTCATCTAACTTGCAAAATTTTGAAAAATACTTTAAGCCTGTTAAAGATTGTTTGTTAACCTCTGTTTGTCTGTATTGTTTTGTTGCTGTCTCAATGATGTATATCCCAGATTTCCCTTTTATTCATATTTGAAGGCAATTATTAAACAAGGAAGCTGTGTTTGTTTGTATATTATTATTATTTATGTTCCTATTTTTAAGTCCTAAATTTTACATACCATATCATATTTTTTATTACCAAAGATTTATCGTGTCTGTACCATCTACAAAAGGATCAAAGGTGCAGATAGACTCTTCAATTTTTTTAGATACTAAATCAGCATTAGTGTTTTCTTGTAAGATTCACCATGTTCCTGAAAAAAATGTTTTGTGACAGAAATTGAACAAAAGTCTACATAGTCTCGCTTATAAAAACATTAATATTTGTTAATGCATTTTTTTAATGTATTTTTTAACACAACTTTTTTGTTAATGCATTTGTTAATGTATTTTTTAACACAACTTTTTTGTTAATGTATTTTTTAACACAACTTTGTGAGAGAGTTTGACAGAAATGATCCAATTATTATAAAATTTAATGAAATACATGTACCGGTGAATATTTTAAATTTGATTTATCCATGCATGTATAAACTGTTTTAACCATAATCTTGCATTTGAATGGCATTACCAGTTTGAATTTATATTTCAATTTTTATTACAACTTTTAATTCTCGTTAACTTTTTTTATTATTCATGATGTTGACTAATAAAAGTTGGAACTAGTTATTAACTTTTGTTTCTTTATATATGAAATCTGACACCAAGTGAACAACACTAACTAAAGTGGCTTTTGGTTAGTTTCCATTCAGTCAAGTGGCTTTTGGTTGGTTTCCATTCAGTCAAGTGGCTTTTGGTTAGTTTCCATTCAGCCAAGTGGCTTTTGGTTAGTTTCCATTCAGTTAAGTGGCTTTTGGTTAGTTTCCATTCAGTCAAGTGGCTTTTGGTTAGTTTTCATTCAGTCAAGTGGCTTTTGGTTAGTTTTCATTCAGTCAAGTGGCTTTTGGTTAGTTTCCATTCAGTCAAGTGGCTTTTGGTTAGTTTTCATTCAGTGAAGTGGCTTTTGGTTAGTTTCCATTCAGTCAAGTGGCTTTTGGTTAGTTTCCATTCAGTCAAGTGGCATTTGGTTAGTTTCCATTCAGTCAAGTGGCTTTTGGTTAGTTTCCATTCAGCCAAGTGGCTTTTGGTTAGTTTCCATTCAGTCAAGTAGCTTTTGGTTAGTTTCCATTCAGTCAAATATATAATCCTTCATACTGGATCATTGAATTTAAAAGGCTTTCTCCAGTTTAGTGGTATTGTGGTTAAGTACTGGATAGAGACTATTGTGGTTTCGATCTTCAGCTGGGTCAAACAAAAGACTTAAGAATTGTTTCCACTACGTATGCTACATGATTAAAGCATAGACTGGTTAGGTAGGAGTCAGATTAATATAGCAGATTCCCCTAAGTATGCAACATGCTTAAGCATAGACTGATTAGCTAGGAGTCATATTAATGTAGATAAGTGCTTACAGCATAGGCTGGTGAGATTGATGTAGCAGATTCCCCTAAGTATGCTACATGCTTGAAGCATAGAATTGTTTGCTAGGAATCAGATTTATGTAGCAGATTCCCCTAAGTATGATATATGCTAAAGCATAGACTGGTTAGCTAGGAGTCAGATTGATGTAGCAGATTCGGCTATGCATGATACATGCTTAAAGCTTAGACTGGTTTGCTAGGAGTTGGATTGATGTAGCAGTTTCCCCCTAGTATGCTACATGCTTTTTAGAAGTAGACTGGTTGAGTCATATTGATGTAGCAGTTTTGGTTAAGTATGATTCCCCTAAGTATGCTAAATTCTTGAAGCATAGACTGGTTTCTTAGGAGTCAAATGAATGTACCAAAAAAAGCATAGGAGAGTTATCTAGCAGTCAGATTAACGTAGAAGATTCTCCTAAGTATGCTAAATGCTTAAATCAAACGCTGGTTTGCTATGAGTTGAATTAATGTATCGAGCTTCCCCTACGTTTGCTACATGATTAAAGCATAGACTGGTTAGCTAGGAGTCGGAATGTCTAGTAGATTTAACTAAGCATGATTCATGCTTAAAGCATAGACTGGTTAGCTAGGAGTCGGAATGTCTAGCAGATTTGACTAAGCATGATTCATGCTTAAAGCATAGACTGGTTAGCTAGGAACTTTCAATTTAAAATCAAATTTCAATTAAATTCAATTCTTTAATACTTTAAGCAAATAACTCTTATCAGTACAATGACATATAAAATATATAGGCAAATACAGTAACCGATAAATTAATATATGATAGTACATAATTGATAATGAATTGGTAAATGAGTACATCATAGACTATTAATAATCTGTATTGTATTATATTCTTACAAGTCTGTTCTACGTTTAAATGCATGGAAAAGAAATTTACAAAGGTTACATACAATGTATCTCTTAAAAAATTCTGCTTTCAGTTGAATACAATTATTCGATGATTAAAGTTGAAACCTGTATTTTGTAATATTATATAATCTAAGATACATCAAAGCTCATAATACAACATTGCATTCGTAGTACATTGTTTGACACCCAAAAGATTTTTGCAAAAAGCACTGTTTCAATATTCGGAGCTTTATAAAACTAAATGTACTAGAACTAACCTTGCAGTTTAATACCTCCAGCCAACTTGATCTTTGATCATTTTGTTGGTTTTTTTAACGACTTTTTGGTTGTGAATCCTCTAAACGATTTATACTGTTCTTCTTAAAGATTAATTGTTATTATTCCGGAATAGTTTGTCACTTTTTACAACATAACATGATTTTATAACGCATTATAGTCTTTACATTAGTATGCAATCTATTAGAACATGTACACCAACGGTATTGTTTTTGTATTATTTTAAATACAATTCCGAGTCAATTCTTTTCCATATTTTAACATATGCCCTAAACTTGCGTGACTGATAATAATATTGAATCATAATTTATTGTGATCTCATTTCCTATTGAGATACACACCATTTGTGTTATTTACAAAACCATGGCAATGTGTCTAATATTTGCAGCATGTGTATTGATTTTGACAGCACTTTGGATATATATAGGAAAAGACTGGTCATTTAGCTTTCTTGCAAATGCTATGTTTTTTCCAACACTTTTCCTGCCATTGTTTGTGGACAACTACGTTGATTTTATCATAACCATTACAGGAATAAACGAGGTAAAGAAATTCTATATAGTATCGGGGTATACATCAAAATTGGGAACGCAATCGTGGAATGGTTTTTCGTACTGGTCAGTATAAACTTTTAAGACATTTACAATTGGTTGATCATAATGAGTTAACTTAATCTGTTTTCGTTGTAATTTAGTGATTATTTAGTCATATAAATAAAGTTTATTAAAATTCGGTACAATACAACAAAATAATAAACCCTGTAGAGCTTAATATAACCAACACACACTATGAAAAATATGATATACAATAAGCTAATAGGTTTGCATGCATGTATAACACTGTATAATTTCTAAAGTAAAGTATTGGTAAAAACGTTATGAGCATTGACATGTAGTCTAGCATGACATTGTATAAAAACACAATTAGTACACACAGTGCATTTTTTTTTAAAAATAAACACCAAATAATACACATTTATCCCGCAATAAACCAACTATTTTATAAATAGCAGGTATACAAATACATATTTTCTTAATATGTACTTATTAGTTGCCATTGGCTCTAAGCTAGCTGTCATTAACTGCGAGTACTCTCAAGTCTGTACTTAGTGTTTTTTTTTGTTGTTGTTGTGGGGATGTATAACACCCTGTCACGTTCGGTCTGTGTTTTTGTTAGATATCTTTCTGCTTTGTAGCGATCTGATGAGTAAAGCCCTTTTCAACTGATTTCTATAGTTTGTTCTTATGTTGTACTGTTACACCACTATCAAAGGTTAGGGTGAAGGTTTGGCGCCAACACACTAGTTTAACCCCGCTAAATTCTGTATGTGCCTGTCCCAAGTCAGGAGCCTGCATGTTATTCAGTGGTTGTCGTTTGTTGCTGTATATCATATTTGTTTTGCGTTCTTTGTTTTGTACATACATAAATCAGGCCGTTAGTTTTCTCGTTTGAATTGTTTTGCATTTGTCATTTCGTGGCCTTTTATAGCTGACTATGTGATATGGGGTTTTGCTCATTGTTGAAGGCCGTCCGGTGACCTATAGTTGTCAACTTCTATGTCATGTGGTCTCTGGTGGAGAGTTGTCTCATTGGCAATCATACCACCTCTCCTTATTTTTATATTTAAATACATTTTTGCTATATTTAAATTTGTACAAATAAAGACTCCTGTTACCCTGCTTCTATATTGAGCGAACGGCAATGTTGTCATGGAATGGAAGTTCCTTTATAAAATTAGTTACAAATATTAGTTCCAGTGGAAGAAACATTACAGTATTTGTTCCTGACTATAAAGGGATGTAGACTATTTGTCAATCAAAAGGACCATGTAGATTTTTTTGAAAGATTAGATTGAAACTATTTGGAACTAAAACACTAAACGTGCAAGTGCCGGATGTATTTTGCTGATTATATGTACATTGTCAAAAGAATTGAATTAATTTATTTGTACTTGCTATGAAACTGGGAAAAGTTCGACAAGAGTCGCTTTCTGTCCCGTTTCCAAATCTTGTCCAATTCTTTTTATATTTTCTGACAATGAACATACATTTGAATTTAAAAGAAAAATATATATATATTTCTAAATATCTGCCACACATGCATGGGCTACCATTTAAAACTTGACAAATAACATTCCCTTTGTCGGTAACCTAACTTCATATAAAAAAACCTGCAATGATAATAAAAACATACTTATACTGAATCACTCTTGGTTTGAAGACTTAGACGTTGCGCACGATGTTGGTACTACTTAGCGTTTCACGACGTTCCTCAAAATAAGACGATTTCGACGATTTCAAAGAAAGTTTCAGGCGTTCAAGCATATTATTGATGATGTCAATTTACTGTTGTGAATTTGGTAACCGATTTCGGTTTGTCTGAAAAAAATGCATAAATTTACAAATAAAACTCAAAGTGGTCGTATAGATATTTTTTAATGAAATTCATTTACAGGAGTTGTCAGTCTTTCCAGGCCATAATTGATAATTTTCCTTTCGGCAGCAGCTCGCATTAATGAATCCGATACAATAATGTCCAAATTTACACAGATTTATTTTTAATATAAATTAGGTTTTGAATTCATATTCTCCTATTTTTTGCATATTTATTCCTTTTATTGCATTTCTTCCCGTTTCCGTTTCCTTTCTATATTTTATCATTTCCCGATGCTTTCTTTGTCGCAAAATATTTAGGAAGTTAAACATTCGGGACTCATGTTTTAAATTTTCTCATTCCCGTATTTTTGTGGCATATCCTTTGTTTGTTATAATTGCCAGCAATGGGTTTTCTCTATTTTATTTTATTAACAAAAAAAATATACATGTTACTTTTGACGATTTAAAACTTGCAGATAGACAATGTTCCTTATATAAAACAAATATGCTATAAAAAAAAAACCCTAAGATCCCGATATTTTTTTTATATCGATCTCATTTGGTCAACATTTGAATTTAAACTTAAACTATTCCTTTCTCATACATTGGTTGTATTGTAATTTATACGTGTATTTTTATTTTCATTCGAATTAAACTGGAAACAAATAATTACGATATAAAATTAAAAACCAGAGCATGACATCAATTACGTTTTGCGAACGTTGGGACAAAACGGCTATACTTTTTGAAACGATCTAAAAACCTTGTTGCCTAACGAAAAAATATTAAACACTATATTGTTTAAGAAGAAAAACAGAAAAACCTTTACCGCCAAGTTTTATTTTATATGATCTAACTATGCTTATTTGATAGACAGCTGGTTAAAACCTCAATTTTAAAGAAAATACAGCGTTTTTTTCGTTGGGACAAGATGGCTATACTTTTTGAAGTCATTGCAATAGAAACTATACGCATGGTTTCCGGCAAAAAAATATCATGAACCAGGAGAAAAGTAAAAAAACTTTCAAATATAATAAATATTTTTTCTCTCAGCTTTTTCAATTTCACGGTATAAATGCGCAAACCCGAAATATACTTACTTTGCATACGGTTGGACATTTTTCAGACCGTTTACAAAAATAACATTTTCCGGATTACGGTTTCAGTGATATTGATTTTGCTTTAACACGCGAATAATTATAACAATAGCAATATTATTGTGAAGTTTTACGATGGTCAGAGCAAAAATACCGTAGGAGAGAAACGGAACTTTGATCATTTGCACACAAAATGAAACGTTGGACATTACGTTTTTGCGTAAAAATGGGATAATTAAGTGTTATAGTCCTGGTATTTTAAATTTCGGTTCCTTTTTTACTTTAATTTCAAGTCTAATGGAATGAATTCAATCAGAATTCACTATATTTTTATCGAACTGACCAGTCTACGTATTTATTTTTATGCTAATCTATAGCAAAATGGAATTGGTACCAACATCGTGCGCAACGTCTTAGTGTTTCTACTTAACAAAAATTAAAACAATCATACAAACAAACAAACAAACAAACAAGGTCTTCAATCATATTAGATTTTATTATTCCTTTATTTTTTAGATACGAAAGTCACTGTTATATTCCTGTGTTGCTATAATAGCGGTGTATATATTGGTATATGGATGTGTTGCTTTAAATATATCGCTGTCTTGGGCAACAAAAGGTAAATCATTGACCAACCAGAAATAAGGTTTATCACTTAGTTTGTCTGTTGCATTCAATTACTTAGATAAACAAAATCATACAGAATTAATACAGAGCGCATATTTTTGCTATTTTCTTTGGTTCTTGGTTATCATCTTTTATCTCGAACACTAATAGGCATAAGTTTGGGTAGCCAAATCAGGATAAAGTTTGGGTAGCCAAATCACGATAAAGTTTGGGTAGCCAAATTAGGATATTCAAATGAAGAGCAATATGCACCCAATTTCTCTGTGAATGTTCTAAATTTCAGTTGTAGACGATCAAATCTTGTGGAAAAAACAATGATGAATTTCATGCATGATTTTTAAAAAAGTATAACAGAAATACAGAACTCTAAGATAAAGGGGGAAGGAAGTCTACGCAAAGTGACAAAATCAAACGTTATAAACCAACGGAACGAGTGGAAAACAGCTGCCATATTCCTGACTTGGTACAGGCATTTTCCGAAGAAAATGATGTGTTAAACCTGGTTTTATAGCTAGCTAAACCTCCCACTTGTATGACAGTTGCTAATAGTTCCGTTATATTTTTACAAAAAAATTAACTTTAGCCCGGGAGAACATGATTTATATGTTACTTAGTAGTTGTTATTGGCATTGAACTAGCTTTCAGTAACAATAAATCTAGAAGCATATTTTAAGATAAAAAAACAAATATTCAAATTTTTATCGTAAACATGTAGATAGATTTCCTCCTATAATACAATTTGCATTTGTTGCAGTAGATAACACTAATCAAAACAATGCAATCCATGAACATAATTCTGATATAATGAGAGGGTTTCTAAGAGCTGCTGGTGAGGAGATTGGATGGAGATGTTACCTGCTCCCCTGTCTTCTTTCAATTTATTCACCACTTTCAGCATTATTAATCAGGTATGTATGAATAATTATGAATGTAGGTGATAAACATTAACAGTTATCATAATTTAATTTTACTGAATAATTTGTTGACGTCCAGTGGCAAATTTCTCATGCATATTTAAGACCAACATTAAATAAAAACATTGAAACAATTAGGTACGCTCTGTAAAGTGGGATGACCACAATAATGGTTTTGAAATATTGACAGCAAATAGAAAATAGGTATGTTATTGTATATATTTTCATTATTATTTCATTTACTTTGTAACATTTGTTGACTTTTATTCTATATGTGTATATTTACATTTTAGTGGTATTGTTTGGGGCCTTTTTCATGTGCCAGTTATGATTCTATTGACATACAAGCTGAAAGTACCAAGACCGTACTTAACAATATTTGTACAATCTCTGTCGTGTGTTCTGATGGCTTTTCTGATTGGATGGGTAGCGGTTAAGTCCAAGTGAGTATTGCTTTTACTTTCTTATTTACAGTACCGTGTACAAGCTACACTAATACTTTCACAATATTACAAAAAAAAAAGAATTTTTGTAAAAAATACAAAAGAAACAGACAAAAAATTGTCTTATATCGATTAAATATATACATGTATTTTCATTCAAAATATTTTTAATTACTTTCTTTAAAAGGACTGTGTTTATTTTTGATCAGTTTGTAAAATTAGAAACAGTTACAGAGCTATCAAATTTAATTATTCTTATTCATAACATAAAAGTCTGGCATACCGAACCAGTGTCTTACAGTAGAAATTGTTGATATTAGCCATATGGAATAATTGATTGATTGTGTTAGCTTTGTGTCCAGTGGCAAATATTTCATGCATATTAAGGACGAGAACAACTTAACAATGATAGGTAGATCGACCGGAATGATAAGCGGGAAATTTGAATGCTACTGGAAAGTGAGGGTATAATGGATAGTGACAGAAAGTTTGCCTTGCAACAGACCACCAACTGACCCCGCATAGAGTTGTTGCAAGGGTTCTAAACGTGCAGATAACGTGGCACTCTCTCTCCACGAGGTATCGGAATTAACGACCCTATTCTGGCCGGACGTTGCTGCGTATTTATTCATCCCACACAGCTGAACGGACGCCCAACTTTGAAAAGTATTTTACCGCTGGTCGGAAGAAGAGTAAAAGAGAGACGAAAGATACTAAACGGACATTCAAACTCATAAGTCGAAAATAAACCGACAACGTCATGTCTAAAGAAGAAAAGGATAAACAGACAAACAACAGTACACAAAACACAACATAGAAAACTAAAGACTGAGCAACACGAACCCCACCAAAAATTGGGGGTGATCCTAGGTGCTTCGGAAGGGTAAGCAGATCCTGCTCCACATGTGTCACTTGTCGTGTTACTCATGTAAGTACAAACCCGGTGATATATATAATTCGGTAGGTCACATTCGGGGGAAGGGACGAGATTGTACTTACGACAATTGGAACATATCCGTCGTCATCTGTGAAACAGATATTCCATAACGGTCAACCAACTCGTGAAGGCGTCCGTGAAATTTACGAAGGGATTATTTCAATTTCGCCACTTGGAACTCTTGGTTTAATAGCTTCCTTGTGAGCAGCAACCATCTATCAAGGAAATCATGATAGGAAACACAAACCCTGAAATATCGTATCAACTGGGAGATATGTACTCCGTATGCAGGCGCTACTGGAATGTTGCTACAAAGAAATTGAAAGTTTACAATTGTGAAGCTGAAATCATCTCTTCTGTTGTAATGTTTTGTTTTCAACCGACCTTCATTGTCAATTTCTAGATGTAGGTCAAGATATGAGGCAGACTTAACTGTAACTGTTGTATCCTTTATCTCAAGTTCGATAGGATAGATGCGTTCAAAATAGTCACCAAATTTTGATTTTTTTTAATGAGAGAACATATATAGCGAAAAGTGAAGTTAAAGGATATTGCTTACTTTTTTTCTTTCTTCCTAATGAGTTCCTTATAAAGTCAGCCTCATATGAATAAAGGTACAAGTCGGAAAGAAGAGGAGTTACCCTGTCACCCTTGGATACTTGCTATTTGGAGCAAAATTATATAAATTATTGGACACATTTGATTATATTTTCTTTTTGTTATCAGATATTCCTTATGGGCTTGTTCTATCATGCACTGTGTCTGGAACAGAGTAAATCCTAGAATATTGGGAAGTATATATACGCACACATCGGGAGAATATAGAGGAGAACAGTGGAAAATCAACGGCGAAGGACTTGCTGGGTGCCTTGTATTTTTGCCTGTAGCAATATTATGTGTATATGACCTTAACTTTACCATGCTATGAGTTTGTATGACGATTATAACATCAACGAACTATTTTGTTATTAAATTAACTTTCATTGAATTAATTTTAATGATTGCTCATCAGACTATTGAATAATGTAATGACGTTTTGATTAAACATGTTAATTGGAAATAGATTTGCTTTGTTTAGCCGTTTCAAATAAATATTACAGGCACGTTTATACACAGCAAAATATAAATTTATCATTTTCAGTAGGAAGTACAAAATTAATGTATTTTTGAACATTTTAAAAGAATTTCTTTAAAAACTACACTAACGTTTTGAATTTTCAAGAATTTGGCTAATTATACCTCATTGAATTTTCTTGCGCTGACGTCCGTCCATTTTTCATTATTTAATTTGCAGCCGTATGAATAAGGAATTATGAATTATGTAATCGGCCATCAATCACTATTCAAAGTGTAAAAATGAATAATGAAATAGGTCACTGCCTAATAATTATTAATCAGTATGATATTCTTCTATGCACATGAACAAAGAATTGAGTATAATTATAATAGATTTTTTGTAAACTTTGCACATCGAGTATACACGGTAATTTTTGAATTGCTTGTCATACAATGACCAATACTCCCATCTATATGCTCTGGAAAGAAAATTAAAGATTACAAGACAGCTATCCAATAATAAAAAGATGGTTTCTATCCGTCATTTCAAAAGAAAGACGGATGATAACAAAGGGATATTCAAACTCATAAGTCGATGACAAACTGACAACGCCATGGCAATAAACAAAAAGTGACCAAAAGACAAACAACAGTATACAAAACACAACATAGAAAAACAAAGACTGAGCAGCACAAACCCCACAAAAAAACGGGGATGATCTCTTTAAGTGTCAATTGTAAAGTCTCTACCACGAAACCAATTGACTGTCACTCACGAGTAACAATCACCTGCGGACTTTCGTTCTCATAACAGTCCCATTAATTCTCTTTGTCGTCTTCATGCCTTTTGAAAATTTCATATGATTCATGCACTTTATATACATGTAGCAGAATGAATATTGTCTTTTAATACTAAGGTGATTATTGGACCGCGCTGAAGTACGTCCATTATTCATTTTTCATTATTCAAAACTCAATAATAAATAATGAAATAGTTCATTATTCAACGTTTAGTAATGAATAATGAAAAAGTTAATATAAATTTTTTTTTATTTTTGTGACTTTTTTGTTGGATACTCTTTTTCTATTTCATCTTTTTGCCCACTAAGAATTATAATGCTGTCATTTTCTATTTTATGCTACAATGTATCATTTTTTATACATTCAGATTTTTGTACATAATGCATAAAAAGGATATTACAGGAATTAACCAAAATATTGGACAGTACAGCAGACTTCACCAACCACCAACTCCTTTGACTTATATTCATTAACAAATTTCAGCCTCTTCGTTGTTTGAGGTTACATCCAGTTAGGTTTCGTTTATGTGTAATTCCTATATTAGTATTCTTGAGTTCTTATCCCATCACCTTATCTGGGACAGTGGTGTAACAGTACAACAGAGAACAAACTGAAAAAAACTCAGTTATAAAGGGCTTTAATCATCAGATCGGTACTAAGCACCAAACAACTATCATACAGACAAAGGACACAAAGTACCGATCTAAAAGTACTCTCAATTACCGAAAGCTAGTTCTAAGCTCAATTGCAACTGATAAATAAACCATGTTTTCCCATACTAAAATATCAGTCAGTACACAACACCGGATTTCATCAAAAGTAGTCTGAGTAAGCATGATATTTTGCAATGCCAAAATATATTAAGTGTCGACAGGCTGTAAGGCCATAAGTATTTATAAATGGATAGTAATACATGTTTAGCTATGATTTTTTTTTATAATAAAATTATTATTAGTACCGATAAAGACAATATTCAAAAGTTCTACTACAATTACAATTTAGTAACCTTTTAGAATCATTAATGCAATTGAATACTTTCGTTATAATGTAAAAATGAAATGGAAATATATGTCATATCAATATCAGCAGTAACTGATACATTTTTGACGGGTTTTATTGAAATATAGTCATACACGGCAATAACGACAGTCAAGGAACAAAACTATGATAAGCAGGTACAGAAAGCTTAAACTGAACGCCCATCACTTGAAGATGTGTTAAAAATATTTTGAAATGTTCTTAATAAATCCTTTATTTACAAGGTAATATGATTTATTAGCTCAACTGACCCAATGAGTCAAGTGAGCTGTTCTTATCACTTAGTGTTTCATCGTCGTCCATTAACTTTCACAAAAAAACTTAATTTCTGAATCTACTAAGCCAATTGAGAACCAAACTAGGCCCCAATCATCATTTGGGTAACTGGTCAAACAAATGTGTAATATGATCCCGCCTGCCATCCAACATGGCCGACATGGCTATACATTGAACAAAGGCGTAAAATGCAACTTGTGTCCATTATCTTGAAACCCGCTATAGATAGGGAAAATCTGACAGGGGACAGATTTTAGAATGGTGCCTCTTTATAGGAGTTATTGCCCTTTAATGATATTTCTATCCATTTTGCATTTTTAGGGGCAAATTTGGTGGATAAATCAAAACTGAACACAGAAAAAAATGATGATCAGCAAGACAAGATCTATGAATAAATGAACATAGTCCAAATTGTTGGTCGACTCCTTATAGGAGTTATAACCCTTAAATGAAGATTTTGACCATTTAAATAAACATTTGGAAACCACTATAGTAGATAAAGAGCAAATGTAAACAGTAAAAAATTTCAGCAATACATGATAAACAAAACAGAGATTATAGTCAACAGTTATGTTCTAGTCTATAACATTGGAGAGTGGCCATAGTTGAAGATGTATATATATTCTGGTATGCGACGCATGCTAGTTTTAATTAGCATTTGCAATTTAACAGGAATAAAGAAATAAGCTTTAATGTATACCCTGAAAGGTTCATCTTATTTTATATGAACGTTACAGTTACTGTAGATATAATTTTATACATGAACATGAACATAAGATAATACATATCTTCCATAACACCATTGAATCAATTTGAAACCACCCATTGATGGTCCACTAGCTACAGGTTCATTTTTTCTATATGAACGTTACAGTTACTGTAGATATAATTTTATACATGAACATGAACATAAGATAATACATATCTTCCGTAACATCATTGAATCAATTTGAAACCACCCATGGATGGTCTACTAGCTACATGTAATATGGTTAGCATAACAATAGAACAACAAATCAGTAATAAAAGAGACGAGTCGTTATATGTGAAGCTTACCCTGTCAATGCACATTTTCTTACTATGTTTTGATTTCTTTTACTCACACATTTGTCTGTTTACACCAGGTCTCATATATTTCAACCAAAATTGCATGATTTGCATTGTTGCGAAAATTTTCTAGACCATACGAGTATCTGGTTCGTAACCTTACTGTTCAGAGCATGTCTGTCAACTCAATACTACTCGATTGTGTGAGTATGATCCGATTGTGTAAAAATACTTGCATGATACAGGATACACAGATAGTCCTATGGTAATCTTCATGTCGTTTAGCCCGACGTGATTATGGGGAGTGTATTGCATTATTATTAAAACTTAGTTAAGACTGAAAGTAAACGAGCTATTATTAGTTGTTAATGGCTTTAAACTAGCTGTAAGTAACTGTGAGTACTCTCAGATCTGTACTTAGTGTCTTTTTGTTGTGGGGATGTATAAGTACCCTGCCACGTCCACTCTGTGTTTTTTGTTAGATGTATTTCTGCTTTGTATCGATCTGACAAGTTAAGCCCTTTTCAACTTATTTTTATAGTTTGTTCTTATGTTGTATTGTTACAACACTGTCTTAGGTTAAGGGGAGGGTTGGCGCGCCTTCAAACTAGTTTAACCCCGCCACATTCTGTATGAACCTGTCCCAAATTTTTAAATGAAATATTGTTTTAAATTGATTTGATGATTAATTATTAAATGTTAATTATGTATGATTACTGCTAATTGGTACTTATACACAGCCTAATATGGTGTTATTGTTGAGTGTTTAAAAATCATGATTGTTGTCATGGTTGTTTTAACTTGCTTTAAATGTAAATACTGCATGTATTTAGCTTGGTATGAGTAAAACTTTGAAGATTTTAAATAAAAAACATGAAAGATAATTGTTTTTAACAGGTCGAATATATATAGAGAGCAATACACTTACCTAAACATGATTAAAAATTATTCAACACAAAAATAAAATACTGGTCGTCAGAATCTCACTTTATTTAAAAACAATGAAAAAATATATATTTATAGCAATACACTTACCAAAACTCGTTTACAAATTATTTAACACAAAACCAATAAAAATTGGGCGCGAACGTGTAGGGTGCGAACGGACTTTGGGTGCGAACGTGTAGGGTGCGAAAGTGAAAGGGGGGCGAACGTGCATGGGGGCGAACGTGATTGGGCGCGAACGGACCCGGATTCTCCCAAGTCAGGAGCCTGTAATTCAGTGGTTGTCGTTTGTTGTTGTATATCATATTTGTTTTTCGTTGATTTTTTTGTACATAAATCAGGCCGTTAGTTTTCTAGTTTGAATTGTTTTACGTTTGTAATTTCGGGGCCTTTTATAGCTGACTATGCGGTATGGGATTTACTCATTGTTACAGGCTTCTACGGTGACCTATAGTTGTTAATTTCTGTGCCATTTGGTCTCTTGTGGAGAGTTGTCTCATTGACAATCATACCACATCTTCTTATTATCATGTTGAGTTTGTTCTTTAATAAATTCTTTGAAATAAAGTTTACGTGCCGTTTTTGTATTTTCCCAGAACAGAAAAAAAATTTAAAAGCAGCGTCAAGATTTTCGAACGCATTTATTTATAAAGTATTCCAAAGGCTACTCAACAATTTCCATAAAGATATATTTATATAACTTAAAATTCATTTGGTAGTTTTCTCCTACAAATGACAGTATTATTATATACAGGTTGCTATGGTAACCAAAATGATTTAATATGTATCCGAAAGACAATATATAGCTTTATTTCCAACATAATGTTGGTATTTGTTAATGATGTCCTTCTTA